AACTTTACGATGTAAAGAATATCAGCGCGAGTTCTCCTGGACACTATATGTGCAATTATGCAAATTACAAACAATTGAAACGCATAATACCTAACATCCCACTATTTTTTATAATAAAGAATTCCGTCGAGGCGCGCCTGCGCACGCAAGGCATCACACTCCTCCGAGTGGCACAGAAGGGCACTCTCAGTGGCGAGCGGAAGAAGCGACTGTTACCATTAGTGCTGGTGCTTACACCTAGAACAGGGCGACAAAAGCTTTTAGAGGATGAAGACTATTTCCCGCCTTAGATCAAAATAGAAAAACTTCGAAAAAACAGTCGCGAAACCAGTGCCACCGCTGCTGCCAAACCTTTGGTTACGCTCCAAGCTTTTGCGCTGCGGTACCTCGATGCGTTAAACACGCCGAGGGCCATTTGACTGCAGAGTGTACCAAATCACGAGACTCGCCTGCTAGATTTGCGAATTGTGGCGAGACACATACATACCACTCATTATTAAGGCTGCAAATATTACCGCTTAAGGCAGCCAGTCAACCGCTAAGTTTATCGTCGGCGCCAACTACAAACAATGCTGTTATCCAGAGGGTCTCTTACGGGCCTTGTTTGAGGACAAAACCTCACCAAGGTTTGCCCGATATCCCGTTAGGTTCTAAAGCCCCTGGCCACGCTTCCACTGCGAAAGCTGGACCGTCGCAGTCGACAATACGGCATATGTTAGCAATTTTAAGGACGAAGTTATTCAGCTTGCCTGAAACTGCAACGGTTTCTTAGGCAAAGGTGCCCCCCTCACATCCTACTTTTTATCTAAAATGCAAATGGCTTTCAGAGTAAGAAGCAAGAGTTTCAGGAGCTGCTGTAATGAGAAAGAATTGATGTGTGCGCCAGCAACTTGACGCGCCTCCTCCCTACCATTGTATTTAATTTGTGCAACTTATTTTTTTGTTACGCATCGCCAAGACAGAACCGATGCACGCAGAGGGAGCGTGACTGTCTTGGTGAAGTGGAGTATTCGACATCATCCGATACCTATGCCAGTTCTACAAAGTGTCGAGGCAGTGGAAATTTCCGCGTGCATGGCCGGCCAGGGGACTCTGTCTGTAAGTTACTAAGATAAGCTTTCTAGATAATTAATAAAACCCAAATAAGCTTAGACACTGAAGCTCAAATTGTTTATAACAATGGTAGTTAGGTAAACTCCTCATAGATCGTCTAGGGAAATAACTGGCTTTAGAAATTAAAACGGTGGTATTTTACCTTTACCTAAATAACTCAACGTAGTAAAGCTACTGAACAAATAAAAAGTCAATTCGAAAGTTTTTGTCATTTTAAGGGCATATCTTTCGACACTTGCGTCTCTAACATAACTAAATTTTAAGTTTGAATTAGTTAACTATTGCAGCCTGCGGCTCTCCTCAGTAACGTCATGCTCTCAAGCTAGAGCTAATGTTTCTGCAAGCCCTCTGCTGAGAGGGATAATGTACATTAACCTCAGGTTCAACATGGCTCGCAGTCTACAAATTCCATTGGAAGCTACTTTCGCCCCCCGATTTGGAACTATCGTCGGGAGGGAGGGCCTCTTCTGCTATTTTGTGCGGGGGTCTCAATTGCAAGCACCCTTCATAGGCCAGCGGAGCCGATAACTCGAATGGTCACATCCTTGAGGCCTATGCTGATGAGAACGGGCTGTGCGCCCTAGGTTCTCAGCAACCAACAAAATTGCCGACTTACAGGAATAGTGGACGTACTGGATATTGCCTTAAAGATATACGTCTCTCTAGGACAATTAAAGCGTTCTAAGAGCTGTCCTCCGTTTTCCTCCCAGTTATTCTCGATTTAGGAAATGAGGAGGAAACACCAAAGGCCATTACCCGTATTTTTTTACGAACTAGGACAAATACGCTGATGTATTAGAAATCACTCTTCCGCCTGCCCGTCACTACCGTCCACGCCAGCCCCGGTAAATATGCTGTTGTCTTATTTGAAAGCGCACTGAACATGGCTGCCACGACTACTGGTGAAGTAACGTACCGTCTCCATCGTCTGTCTGACGAACCGAAGACACTTATCTGCCAATGTCGACGTTTTACACGAGTGACCATGTTGTCGAAGAGTGCCGAAGATAAAGATGCGCTTGATCGACTTCACAGGAGCATTAGAATAAAGCTAATGGCCCATTGTAACAATAAATGGGAGGCCAAGCTGCATCATATATCGGAATTAGGCAGGCTCAACCTCCTTCTGGAAATTGGTTAAAAGTATCGAAAATCGGGGGCTTGCACCACTACCGCCCCTTCGTGAAGGAAATATAGTGGCCAGGAATTATGGGAACAAAGCTACGCTTTTCGCTAATCTTCTTGCTACCCAAAATGTGCCAGCTGCTCACTTACCTCCCAATGGTGCGCTCCCTCAACTGAGCTTATCCCTCCCCGTGGTTTATGAACTACTTGCTCAATTTAATATTGGGTGAGGTGCAAGCAAGTGTCGAAGCGCTACCTCAACGAAAAGCGCCTGGCCCCGATGGCATCACTAATGAGCTGCTGAAGAAAATGCCATTAATAGGGATGCACTATCTTTACCTCCTTATAAAACTTTCGAGGCTCCTTGGCGCCTTTCCGATTCAATGGAAGACGGCGACCGTCGTGATGCTATCAAAAACACTTAAACCCTCACAGTCTCTATAATGCGCTGAAAGCATATCTAAACGGTGTTAAGCGAAATATTTGGGGGTCATCGTCGAAACAAAATTTCCTGGCGGCCTCATGTGATCTATGTAGTGGCGAAGGTCAAGGCAGCAATCAGAGCGCTTTATCCTTTACTTTTGGCATGAGTAAGCATTCTTTCCGAAACAAACGGCAATTGGATTTGTCTTACACCTCTAGCCAATAATGACATACCCGTCTGCTGCTTGGGCCTACGATTCCACTGCAATAGAGTTGGCACTTCGTGCAACAGAACAAATTTCTGCATGTTCTGACAAAGGCGCCGAAGTTGTGAGAAAATGATGCTCTTCACTGGGACCTTCAGCTGGGCCCTTTAAACAGTGTTTTCCAAAGCATTACCGTGGTCCTTTACGACAGGCTCACCAGGCACTCTTATCACCTGCTGGTGAGCGGAGTTATATAGGTCATGGGATGGGGCACGTTATCGCCGCCCACGTGACGCGCTTAAAAGCTGGTTATTTTTTTTATGTTAAAAAATGAAACCCTGAATACTATTTGTAATATGTCGGCAATCACTCCAGATTGAGAGCTCGAGTATTCGAAGTTTTAACTCGATCGAGTACCAGCAACTGTCATTAATGAATAAATAAATTTAGACCTATTGAGGGATATGGCTGTTATACTAAATTTCCTATTAACTTTTATTTTTTTAAATAACGGTATTGTTAACGGTATTAAAACATTAACCTTCTATTGCATGTAATACTGTTATTATGTAGCTATTACGTCTTTATTGATGTATACTATTAAGCTGTGATGATAAAGCTCATCCGTTCAAGTTATAGCGTTATGATTTGTTGACGAAGTTAAAGCTTCCTTATTCCCCAGATAGTAAGTGGAATGTCAGTAATTGACATTAAATTACGCCAGTAGTAAGCTAATGCTATTAATAAATTAATAACCTGAGCTATAAATTTTTTATAACTAAACAAGTACTCTCTACAAATCTGGTTGATTTGTATAATAGAAAATTCGTAGTTAAGTTACTTTCTATTTAAGATTAAAAACATTAAAAGTTATTACAAGGGGCCGACCAGTAGAATTAGGCATTTTCCATTTCATTAATTTCAAGTTGTGTTATAACATTGCTGTATAAGTTTTTTATTTTTTTAATTTTTAGATTTAAAAAAGGCTATTATATAGTTACCCATATTATTAAAGAATAAAATACCTCAATTTTTTCTAAGTGCAAGCTACAATGCTTAAACTCTAGCTATACAGGTTAAGTTAAAACATAATTATTGTTCACTTGGGAGTATCTTCTAGTAAAGCTTTCTTTATAAATAAAAGCTTCACCCTTGAGGCATTCTTATGCGTTGGATCTATAAACTCCAATTACGGAACTTTTTTACATAACTTGGGCCATTTTAGCACAATAGCTGCATTCCATTCTACTAGTTAATTTGTTGGTAATATCATTTTGCTATTTGGTCTTACTGCGTCACAGCAAAGGTAGAAAAAACTCGAAAACAAGAGTGACCTCAGTGATGAGGGCTCCTGTCAAAAAAACTGTTTAAAAACTCACTCGCTCCAGTAGAAGGGAATTTATAGAGTAAGTTGCAAAGCTTTTTTAAAGTCACAAAGTTCACAATAATACTTTAAACAAAGATTGATATAGACAAAGGAACACCTAATCACGCTCACCCAAAACCTGCAAACTTATTGGGCGAGTCCGCAAAATTACAAACCTAAATCATTAAATTCATTAAAAAAGAAAACTAATTATTATGCGTAGAAGAAGTACGTACATTTTTGAAAGGAGACGTTAAAAAATTTAGTAAAATAATTTTGAAGACAACGTTATTTAGTTATATAAGTTTTTAATCCAAATTCCGATGGTAAACTTTCTCAAATTAAAGTTATTACATTTAAACTATTATACGATAACTTTAGTAATAAAGTTTTACTATTATCTTTAGCCCCCTTGGGTGATGTATTTACTTTATATTATTACCTTAATAGTTATATACTTTTATAAAGAAAAATAATATATATCCAATCGACCTTCACAGAGTGCTATGAGGCCTTAGGCTAGTTATTTTAATTTATGGTAAACATTTAAAAACCATTTCTTTGCATAAAATTATAAGTTAAAAAGTACTACAAAGAGTGCGCCAAAAGATCCTTGATAATTTTTTATAACTGCAGCAATTCTTTCAGCATACAATTTCGATATAAACAAGAAAAAACAAAAATAAGTTAGGTAAACCGATAGAACGAGTACAGTAAAAACTTATTAAGCTTTATTACACTAGAGAACTAAGGGTATAGAGCTCAGAGAATCGTTATCGCTAACTTAGATTTTAGAAATTTTTTCAGTTTTAATCAAAGGTGAATTTCTGGCTAAACGTTCCTTTTCATAGGCAACACGGTTAAAATCGCAATCATGTGTAGCAGACTCCCTATGAGCATCACAAAAGATATATCCTAAAAAAAATTAAAAGAGTTAATAAAAGGAAATAAAAGGAAGACGAGCCTAAAAATCATACCACATTTACACTTATTCATATATTGACGAATAACAGAAATCTTTGAGTTACACTTCCAGCATGATCTGGGATTATGTTGAACCTTACTAACCTTTTCGCGCTCCAAAGTTGCAGTTTCTTTATAATTATCTTCTTTGTGCAAAACCTCTTTTCTAATAGTCTCCATATTGCTAGAGTTTTCAAGTCGGCAACTTTCCAAAGTGGCTTCGTTTTTTATAGGGTTTAATCTTGAAGTTGAGCCTAAAGTTGCAAAGTCTGTTATAAGCCTAGTTATTATATTATATAATAATGAAATATGCTCTTTTAATACCTCTCTCTTTTTCTTTATGATAACAAACTGAGCACATATTTTCAAAAGCAGCGTTTCCAAAAAAAACTGAGCAAGCTTTACACAGTGGTGGCGTTTCCGAAGAATTTTTTTCCATTTTTCTTGAATAGATCTAAATTTTGTAAAAGAATTAACACTATAGAGGCGTTACGAAATGATAATCCCAACTAGGCATAAGCGACGCTCAGCGAAGCTGAGCAGGTAGTAAAGAAAGCATTCAAGGTCACCACACAGGCATGCCACTTAAAACCTGTGCTACCCCATCAGCTAGTCATATGCTATTTCGATAAAATTTTACATAGCCACTTGTTTTTGGAAACAGAACGCAAACCTTAAAATAACCAACTATATAAGACCTGCTTTCGTTAATACTAAAAAAAACAATAAAGAAGTAAAATTTTGACCAGTAAGCGGTTGGATTATTATACCACACAAATCAGAAAGTAGTTTTACTTTTACTTGGACTTGCCTTTCTAGTAAAACCTTATCAAATCAACCGAGAGCCAACAATAGTTAATACCCAACTACAGTGACTTGCTATATATACTAACAAATTAGCTTAACAAATTAGCTTAACATGTATTGAGGTTGTATTTATGTGACCACCAATATATACATATATATATCTTGTATATTCTTAATTTTTGGCGAAAATAGCACAAACAACTAAGGTGTATATAATAGAAATATATGTATAACTGTATAGCTAAATTTCTATAATATGTGGTGTAGTTTTATTATACCCCCCTTGAAATTAAATTTATTCACCTTGCACCTATGACCTTTAGTGTTGATGAGTCAAAAATATTAATAATTGAGAGCATACCATAATCTTGCAAAAAAAACACCTTATACTAAAAATCATATCAGAATCTTAACCAGTTTAAAGATAAAACCCGCTAACGTCATAATAGTGACAAATATTGCTATAGGCTACTACTATAATTATTACTACTTATCTTGTAATAGATTTAATAAATTAATTTTTAAGCCCCTTTCTAATTACTGTGTTCCTGGTGCTTATTTACTCATTATTAAAACATGTTAAGACTTGATTCATGTTTAAATTATAGCCAGTAAATAACTTGTCATAAATTAGTTAAAATTACAATTAAGTTGTTTTTTGAGACTTTTAAAAACATACGTTTATAGTCCTTTTTAATGGAGGAGTGGACGACCAACCTTTTAAAGACCGATAATAAACTCAACACTAAAAAGCTTTTTCATACCGGAGCGATCCAAAATAATAAGCAAGCTAAATTACAAAATACCACTTTTGTTTCCTATAATTTCTCTGTTGTGTGTCCTTGTTAACCCTTCACTCCCACTAATTTAGTATTTTCAAAGCTTTAAAGGTTAGGTCTAGCTGAAAATTCATTTGTTTACGTCTGCATCGAAAATTACAAATAGTTCGAAGGAGTCTTGGGCGTATTTCGCTTTTACGCTCTGTTTGGGAATGACTTGGGTTAGTTTTTCTAATTTTATTAGGCGCTATAAAGCTAAAGATATTTAATCCTAACCATTAAGCTTATGAATTGTACCTCAGCGTTAAGAACACATACTTAGGATACTACAATGTCCTACAAAATTGGAGCTTGAATATGATAGAAAACGAAATTAGACGATTAAGGTGTTTAGTTAGTATATTTTTAAGAAAACCTTTTAAATGGAATCATATATTCTGCTAAAGCAAGTCCTGATATGCTTTCAGCTCAACGGGATTGGTCGCAGCCATTGTACAATTTTTCTAAGTATTTTAAGTTAGTTACCTTTTGCTTGTTATCAGCTGACTTTTTAAAACCTGAACACTTGCTTAACTAATCGACATTTTCTATAAAATATATATAAAAAATTTTTTTAAGTAATGTTACTTACCCCGTAAAATAAACATTTATAACAATTAGTATTAAGTGCTGTTAGAATAAAGAACTTTTAATTGTTTATTTTAAGAATATTTAAAACTATGCGCTTTCGTTTTTCAAGTTCTCTTTTGAAAGTACTATCTTCTTATAACAGACTTAGAACGTAAGGTAATTTATAAGCACCGTAAGAATGCTTTTTCTATTTATAGGTTTTAAGTATTAGTGTTTACTACATGGCGGAAAGAGAAAAGGAGGAGAGGTCATTTAATATATTTTTTTTTAATGACTTTTGCGGATGTTCGGTAAGTCGAGCGTAGACCCCTTAATTAGTCTTGAAATGAGTGCAAGTAAGTAGTCCGACATCTGCAGAAGGAGTATTATTAATGTCCCGATTTTCTAAGGAGAAGAGCTGTAGTTGTACGTGGTTACCCTCCTGGCCCCCAACTGCAGTGCTGACCAAGTTCTCATTTATCTTCTCAGATCGGACATTGAAGCGATTTTCGCCAGTGCACCTCCCTCAGTTGTTATCCCTTAGAGGGAAGGTATTTATACCTTTAGGTTTCATTTATGAATTAACCAAAACTGCGTGTTACTTAAACATCAGCCTTCTTTAAGTATAGAAACTGTTTTTAGATTGTAACTGGATATCTGGCTAGGTCAAAGGATTGCAAAGCATAAGCAATATAACTAGTCTTTGCAACTTAACAGTTTATAGTTTAGATGTTAGTAGTTAGGACTGTAATTTTTGATGAGAATAAATCAATGATATCAATATTGTACCCCTATTATCTTTTTAAGTGATTGTTATAGCATAGATGGTAAGACGCCCTTTTATAGAGTAGCTGCTCCACGCGTACTTTGTATGAATATGCCATTAGAAATCAACTCTTTTTGTGTTTTGACAGCATTTTTCTAATCCTATTAAGTTTTTTAATTTTTTAAACTTTTAATGTCAATTATTTGCCAATATTTGCCGGACACGCTTAAATTTTGCGGCAGTGTCAAACAATAACATATTTGTTTGTCAGCTCTTTAGATTTACATCGATAATAAGTTTCCCTTCTTTTACATACCCATTTAATATCTTTATATACCTCCATATTTAATGATGGCAGCTAATGTATCCCTATTCCCTGTATTTAAGTAGTTTTGTCTTATAATACTGTAGGCAGGGTTGTCGTTTTCGCTAAAAAAATAAACCTTATTTATAAAGTAAACATTTTAATTATTTGTTTGATGTAAATAAAACTACAGCGATAAGAAAGTTATATTCTAAATTAAGCTTGTTTCTATGAAGTAATGGGTATTAAAATATTTAAGTGAAAATTTACTATATACCGCGGAATATATATGACCGTTCCAATCAACCTTTAAATCAAAATCTTCCCAAAATCCTGCTTGCGAGATACCATTCTGCAGCTTGTTATTCATCTCGAGACCATATTTGAACAAGGAGTTGCAGTAAATATATTGATAGATGAGTAAAATTAGTGACTATACTTTTATTTCTTGAGTTTAAGTTTAGCATAGTTAATCTTCAAGGCATGCTTAGTAGAACTATAAAACATTGAGCCCAACTTTAATGTGAGGAAGAGTCTCTATTATTACGCAGTTAACTGGAAGGGATCTTTTACTGCTTCGTCTTTCTAGTATTTCAACTCTTCAGTTTAAGTAGCGAGTTGAAAGTTCCTGCTGCTCAGTTTGATAAAGTGAATATAACAACCGATAGAACACATGGAGAAAAGAGGAGATTTTGAAAGGAGGGCGAAAATATTTCTCCTTTTCATACCTACCTTACTTTTTGACTAACTTTAAAGAAATGTTATCTGACAGAGCTTACGAAATTATATGCCTAGTAAAATTTAGCAACAAGGTTTATTATAGGCCCTCTATAAGGGAGCAAACCTCAGTATGGCTTTACAAGTGGGCTTGAATCTCAGTGCCAGCAGCTTTGCTGGCATCATGTGTTTTTCATCTTTTCTTCCGACTTTTTTTTGTTCGAAGTTAAGGGTACTAAAAACGTATAAAGCCTTCTTTCTTTCCTTCACCCTGGCCTGTTGGGTGGGTGGTATCTTCTTTGGTTCTCACGTTCTCATTTGAACTTTTCTATTCCGCCGGTCTGAATTAATAATAATAAATAGCATAGTGAAGGAAGGAAGGGCCTTTAAGTGGTAAAACAAGTGGTAAAACGCACGTTCTCATTTGAACTTTTCTGTTCCGCCGGTCTGGGTTAATAATAATAAATAGCATAGTGAAGAAAGGAAGGGCCTTTAAGTGGTAAAACGCTCTATACTTTATCTTTCTTTATTAAAAAGACTCGGGGGAGCATATTAGTTAATAAAGATGGCTTCTTAAATTTTTTTGGTTTAAATCTTTTTGGTTAGTTCTTTTTTGTTAATAACTTTTCAAGGTTCTAAGTAAAAGGAATGTTGGTTGGTTCAAATGCCTCTGTACCACTCCGCAAAGTACATAGGATTCAATTTGGAGTTTTAGGCCCCGATGAAATTGTATTATTCTTTGTTGTCTTAGACAGCTTTAACTAATAACAGTTCAATAGAAAGAACGCTCTCGCTGTAGAATTGAGTACGCAGAAACTCTAGAAGGTGGCAAAGTTAAAGTAGGGGGCCTCTGCGACTTACGTATGGGCGCTTTTGAAAAAGGACAAGTTTGCCAAACGTGTGAATGCACCAACATAGTACTTTTTTCCTCCTTTTCTTATTAGTATTTTCTATTATTTCTTATTATTAGGAGTGCCCAGGCCACTTTGGACATATAGAATTGGAAAAACCTATTTATCATGTTGGTTTTTTGGAAACCTTGGTGAAAATACTTAATTGTATCTGCTTTAACTGCTCAAAATTTACTTGTGAAGAGGTTTTTTTTTAAAACAAAAAAAAGAAATTATTAAAAGTTTTTCTGAAGTAAAGTTTAGCGGCAAGAGTCCATTTACTTGTAGATTATCTTACTCTTATTTTTGTTGCAGGAAGATGATAAGTTTAAAGCTGCTAAAAGAATACTGGACAAATCTATGCGACTACGCCGACTTGTTGAGGCCAGCAGCGGAGAGAAAAGAATTTGCTCACGGGCTGATGGCTGCGGACATATTCAACCTCTTCGAATCCGCGTATGTTTATCAAAAGCTGTAGCGGCTTCTGTTAGAACTTATCTTATGAAATGCAGAAAGAACTGCTCACAATTGTAGTAGAGCGTAAGGAGAGTGACGAGCCTGCGGAAAAAAGGAAAAGCGAACTTTCTGCGGAGGAGGCTTATAAAATACTTAAAAACATCAGTGACGAGGACGCTGTTATTCTCGGGTATTGCTATTTTGCGGTTGGACCCCTTTGAACTATAAATCTTTGGACCTTTGCAGTTTTAATCCGACTTACGCACGGCCTGAGTGGATGATTGTGACTGTCTTGCCCGTTCCCCCTCTAAGCGTTCGTCCTCCTATTGCTATGGACACGACTTCTATCGCACAGGACGACCTCACACATGCTTTGAGTCAGATCGTTGACGTAACTTTCGCTTTCCTAAAATTTTTATAGCCTCACCGCGTGTCCGGGTGAACTTTACATTTAAGATTTGTTTAGGCTAATAATCAACTTCGGAAGTTGAGGCAGAGCGGTTCTCCTGCACTTGTAGTCAACGAGGCACTGTCGAGATTGCAAATCGTTCACGCTACTTATATAGACAACGAGTTAAATGGTATCAAGGTTCCCAATTTCTTGTGCACGTGCATGTACGCCTGCGCTAGCAGTTGACTCTGTGAATAGTCACAGCAAAGGTCCGGACGCCCTCTGAGAACTTTGAGGCAAAGACTGAAAGCAAAAGAAGGCCGCATTCGATGTCCGGACTCTGTTTTTTTTTTCGTTTTATGAAAGTAACTTGGCCGTGCACAGCCAACCTTATGGGAAAGCGCGTGGACTTCAGCGCCCGCACTGTTATCACTCCCGATCCTAACCTTAGTATCAACCAAGTTGGCGTCCCGAGGTCGATAGCCAGAACGTTAACTTATCCTGAGGTGGTCACCCCTTTCAATATTGAAAGGTTGGTTGCGCCGTTAACTTGCTACTCCAGAATCCCCCTTTTCTGCTTCTTTCGCACCAGACTGCAAGAACTTGTGCGGAGGGGCCCTGAAGAGTATCCTGGCGCGGTGACGGTCATCCGAAGCAACGGCGGTCGTCTGCAGTTGGCTATATCCAAGAGACAAATCAATTTGGAGGTATGGACCATCCACCACCCCTCTGCCTTGCTTTCACGTGCTTATACCATGAAGATAGGAGAGATCGTGGAGCGGCACATGGTCGATGACGACCTCGTAATCTTTAACCGGCAGCCGTCTTTGCATAAGATGAGCATGATGGGCCACCGGGTCAAGGTCCTCCCTTGGTCCACGTTCCGTTTGAATCTCGTGTAAGCTTCTTGACGTTTGATAATAATTCGTTGCTTAATATATTTCTGTGCGGTAGTGTTACGACACCCTACAATGCGGACTTTGATGGGGATGAAATGAATCTACACCTTGCACAGACTTTCGGCGGGCGCGCAGAAATCGAAAACTTGATGATGATAAGTTTTACTTGCGTTTGTAACACGACCACTTTGACGCACTCGCCTGCACGTCCCCCAGCAGATTGTCACTCCGCAGTCAAATAAGCCTGTCATGGGTATAGTCCAGGACACTCTGACGGCTGCTCGAAAGCTTACAAGAAGAGACTGCTTCGTTGAATTGGATGACGGTAATAAATTCTTTTTTTCGGTTTGCTATATTATTGTGTATGTTTGCAGTAATGAACCTTCTGCTTTTTGTTCCATCGTGGAACGGAAAAATCCCGGCACCGTGCATTTTGAAGCCCAAGCCCTTGTGGTCTGGCAAACAGGTTATACCATATTATTGCACCTGTTGATTAATGGCTTATTTGCGTCATCCATACGGATGAAAGTTGTTTTCCCTTCTTATCCCGCAGCAAACCAACTACGAGGATAAAGATAAAATCACGTCGGAGGAAAGTAAAAGTCGCCAGTTAATGCTGAGGTTCTTCACTATTTAGAATCTATAAGAGGTGCACGTGCTTCTAAGCTACATCAGATCGCCTTCAGATACGCGCGTGTTGGTAAGAAATGGCGAGTTGCTGATGGGCTGCATCACGAAGAGGGTCGTGGGAGCTTCTGCCGGCTCACTTATTCACGTTATCTACAAAGAGCATGGTCCGGAAATATGCCGATTGTTTTTTGATTACACCCAAAAGTTGGTTAATAATTGGCTTATTATTGGCGGCCACTCCATGAGTAAGCTCGGTTACATAACAACGTTACATGTTTTTCTTAACTGGTGGGTGGCAGGCATATCTGACATTGTGGTGCCTGAAGACTTGAGCCGTACAATTGCTGAGAAACTGGAAGACTCCAAAAAGAAAGTTTCGCGAATAATCGAAGACGCCGTTCTCGAAAAGCTGCGACCCACCCCTGGAAACAACTTTCGCCAGGTCTTCTTATTGCTCTCCCTTGCTTTCGGCGCCTATGCACGCTATGCTTTTCTTTGACTGCAGACATTTGAAAACAAGGTGAACGGCGTATTAAACCAGGCTCGTGAGACAGTCGGTAAGAAAGCGGAAAAGGCTCTTTCCGAGTTCAACAACATGAAGGCGATGGTTGTCTCCGGGGCTAAGGGCTCTTACTTAAACGTCTCGCAGATGATCGCCTGCGTGGGCCAACAGAACGTGGAGGGCAACCGGATCCCTTTTGGCTTTGTCTACAGGACGCTTCCTCATTTCATGAAGGACGACTATGGTACACTGGCAGTGATCCGCTTGCCTGCTTTGCTTCTTCCGCATGTATTGTATGCAGGCCCCGAGAGCCGCGGCTTCGTGGAGCACTCGTACGTGGCGGGTAGGCGTTTGATTGCTTCTTGAAACTGACATGCATCATCGTTGTTTTTTGTGTTGCAGGGCTTTTGCCTTCCGAATTCTTCTTCCACGCTATGGCGGGGCGCGAAGGCCTAATCGATACTGCTGTGAAAACGGCCGAAACAGGGTACATTCAGCGGCGCCTGATCAAGGCAATGGAGGACGTCATGGTGAAATACGATGGGACTGTTCGAAATTCGGGCGGTCAAATCATTCAGTTTCTCTACGGCGAGGATGGTGTAAGTTGCATGCATGCTTGTATAGCGTGAACCCTCACTAACGCCCTGTGCTCTCATAGATGGATGGTGCACATATGGAAAAGCAATATCTGAGTAGCGTGGGAAAAAATAACGAAGCTTTTCGTAGCATGTATCACATTGATATCACGGAAACAAATGAGTTAAAGAAAATTCTTACTCATGATATAGTCGATGATCTTCTTCACAAGTAAACCGACGTCTTTGGAGACCAAACAGTGATTAACTTTATTATTAATGTTGGTAGTATTGAAGTTCAGGCCATGCTAAACGAAGAGTACCGCCTACTCTCTGCAGATCGGCGTGAACTTCGCCGCATATTTCCGGACGGAAGGGAGGATGTCTACCTTCCCGTCAATTTGTTTCGACTTATTTTAAACGCTAAAAAGCTACACAAGATACAAGACAAACGTCCCTCTGATCTTCACCCCTCCAAAATAATCGAAGGGGTATGCGCGTCTTCATTTTTACTGGTGCTCCACACACTATATATACACGTGATTTAGTTACGCCAGCTTTGTAACAATCTCCTGGTCATTCCTGGGAAGGACAGAATAAGCATTGACGCACAGGAGTCGGCTACCGCTCTCTTTAAGATGGTATACGCCTGCTGTCTGCGAGCCCTTCCATTTTTCAATATCTTTTTATTCAGCATCTGCGCGAATATCTTTGCTCTAAACGGGTTCTCTTCGAGCATAAACTGACGTCTAAAGCCTTTGATTGGGTCATCACCAACGTGGAGAGGAAATTTCGCCTCGCTAAGTGCCATTCCGGAGAAATGGTTTACTGGCTTGCCAGAGCATTGATAAACTTCACCGCTTATTAAAGGTTTACCTTGCGCCGCTCAGGTGGGGGCGTTAGCCGCGCAGAGTATTGGCGAGCCTGCAACGCAAATGACATTAAACACTTTTCACTTTACGGGGATATCTTCGAAGGTTTATTATAATACAAGTACAGCACATGGGGTGACTCTAGCTTTCTTCTTGGTAGAACGCCACCCTCGGAGTTCCCCGTTTGAAAGAACTTATTAACGTCGCAAAGACAATTAAGACGCCATCACTCACCGTATTTCTCAAAGAACCGCATTGCATGGAGGAGGAGCTCGTGTCCGACCTCGTCCGCGTGATGACCCACACCACTCTGCAGTCGCTTACCGATAGCACAGAAATCTACTACGATCCGGACTTTAGGAGTTCCATCATTCCAGAGGACCGTTAGTTTTGCGCTGTAACTAATGCTGAGTCGCCGCATTGCCTCATCTTTTTTACTACCTGCAGAGCGCTTGGTGGAAAACTTCTGGGACTGTCCGACAGATGGCATCGAGGCTCGTGCCGACCAGATCTCACCTTGGGTGCTGCGCATTGTGCTGAATGTAGACGCTGTGCTGAATGCTAAGATCTACATGGACACGAGTATGTGCTCACAAGTTCAACGGTGTGTTTGTATTATCATTGATCTATTCCGTTTAAAGTCCAGGACAAAATCCTAGAGTTTGGCGAATCAGATTTGGTGTGCATGATCGACACTAACCGCTCCCACCCCGTGATCCACATTCGTTTACTAAATGTGCGTTATAAACCGATACTTCTTGCTTTCGGCTCCCGTTTAAAATTTTGTTGGTAGGAAGGCTCTGTTTCTCTACACGATGACAGTGTATTGAGAGACCTGGAGCAGCTGCTTCTCTCCAAGCTAACTATTCAAGTCACAATTGTTGGTGTGCGGCTTTTCTTTTTCACTGATACCATCTTTTTTGCAGGGCATCGAAGGCATTTCCCAGGTTTACATTATGAAAAAAGAGTACCACTACTATCCGGATAGCGAGCAGGGAGAAAAGAGATTTGTAAGCTTTTTGTTTTGTTCAGCGCTCGCCTTGGCATGAATCTCTTACTATCCATGCCAGAGAAAAGAGTTCTTCTTTGAAACTGACGGCGTAAATTTACTGGAAGTCATGGGAAACCCAAATGTAGTTGCCAGTAAATGCCGCTCTAACTTTATCCTTGAAATTATGGACGTGCTTGGCATCGAAGCCGTCCGAGAATCCCTTTTCAAAGAGTTGCACATGGTCATCTCCTTTGACGGTCAGTTTGCTAATCTACTTGGATGTAAGACCGGTAGTAACCGCTCCGCTGCGATTGGTACAGGCGCTTATGTTAATTACCGTCACTTGGCCCTGCTTTGCGACGTCATGACTTTTCGGGGTAGCTTAATGGCCATCACAAGACACGGCATTAATCGTTCGGACTCGGCTGGACCAATTACCAAGTGCACTTTCTTTTCACCGTGTGCTATCCACTTCTAAATAATACTAGGTGTTCTTTTGAAGAAACTGTTGAAATCTTAATGGAGGCAGCTTGCCACGCTGAGGTTAACTATATGCACGGAGTCTCCGAGAATGTTTTTATGGGTCAGCTCTGTCCCCTGGGGACGGGCGAGTGTGAGCTTTACCTCGATGAGGAGATGCTTGAAGAGTCCATTGAACACCAACCTACTTACCTGGACATAAACTTTTCCACTAAGTTTGGCCCCCTGGACTCTATGCAGACTCCGTAATGCTAAATTCTTAGTGTGCGAGTGTTCTTTACTGAGCTTGTTGCCCTTGCAGCGCGCTCCATACTCCGTGGTATCCCCTGAGCCCGGGGCTATCCCCTCTTCACGGCGGACTTTTGTCCCCGTTGGCGGGCACTTCCACTTTTTCCCCACCTTGGGGTATTAGTGCTGCTATCTCCCGTTATTCTATCTCAGTAAAATGTCTGCAGATGGAGAGCAGAGTTATTTGGGTGTTTCAAGCCCCTCGAGTTATTCTCCATACAGTTCCTCTCCGTACTCACCGGTGTCACCGCTCTACACGCCAACCAGGTAGAATTGGTTCTTTCTGCTACACCCCTTTCTTGTTAATTTTTATGATTAGCCCGCAGTCTACTTACACGTCCATCTCTTCTCCCTATTCACCGACATCTCCTTCGTATTCTCCGACGACTCCATCCTACTCGCCGACATCTCCAGCGTACACGCCCACTTCGCCTGCGTACTCTCCTACCTCTCCTTTCTATTCGCCGACCTCCCCTTCTTACTCTCCCACGTCCCCGTCCTATTCACCAACCTCACCCGCTTATTCGCCAACTTCTCCCAGCTATTCACCGACCTCACCTGCCTATTCTCCAACTTCACCTGCCTATTCGCCAACGTCTCCGTCTTACTCACCCACGTCTCCCAGTTATTCGCCAACGTCTCCGTCTTACTCGCCCACGTCTCCCAGTTATTCGCCTACGTCCCCTTCTTATTCGCCCACGTCTCCCAGTTATTCGCCTACGTCCCCGTCTTACTCACCCACGTCTCCCAGTTATTCGCCAACGTCCCCGTCTTACTCACCTACTTCTCCCAGTTATTCGCCTACGTCCCCTTCTTATTCGCCCACGTCTCCCAGTTATTCGCCTACGTCCCCTTCCTATTCGCCCACGTCTCCGTCCTACTCACCGAGCTCCCCCTCCTATTCGCCCACATCCCCCTCATACTCTCCCACATCTCCTAGCTACTCACCTGCGACCCCCTCCTACTCATCCTCCTCTACGCTTTACTCAACAACTTCGCCTGCCTATTCCCCGTCATCTCCTTTGTACTCACCATCATCTCCTTCATATACACCGTCAACCCCTTTTTACTCACCAACATCACCTACTTACTCGCCAACGCTACCTTTTTCTCCTCACTCTCCCCTACAACAGCAGCAATCTTCTAAGAAGTTGAGCAGAGATGAAAAGTTTACTAAAAAGTGATATTTTTAGGAAGAAAAAATGGCATTATTTTAATGGTGGATTAACTGTGTAAATTTACTTGAAATAATATTTTTTAATTCTTCTATTTTGTAAATAATAAATTTAGGTCCCCTTCAATTTTTATAATATATATAAACAATTTATATCGTTAAATTCAAAGTTATATATTTGAGATTTGGAATATTGACAACTATCTGTAAGCTTATGTAAAAATAATTTTTGGTGGCAGCGCTAATATTTAAGTTATGAGCAGGCAAGCCATATAAAGAAATGGTTTACTTATATACAATCTTTAATTGTTAACCTTATAAATCCGCGAGACCCTTTTACTTTTGTGAAACTTTTTTTAATAGCCCTATTATATAAAAATGCTTAATGCTAACTAGTCACTACCAACTTACAATAAAACTATGGGGAAAGGAGCATATTATTATATACAAGTGGATCTAATCTTTATCTTATTACCTGTAATTATAATATTATAGGATACCACTTGAGATAATTATAGCGCATTTTTCATAAGCAATATTTTAATATTTTAATTGAGCGTTGTCTTAACACAAAGTGCAAATTATCTTGGAAACTGATTTGAAGTATGGACAAAGGAGTGGTATGTTAGGTTTCTATATAGATGTTAATTACAAATTAAGCAAAGAGTAAAGAAAATTAATGAGCATGGCGAACCCGGGACGCCACTAGGGTTAAAGTGAATTTTAAGTATAAAAGAAGCCTAAATAAGCATCGAGAGCTGTTAAGCGTTGTTTTAAAACATTCCTCTTCAGTATGGTAATTAATGGAATTAAAAGGTTATTGAAATTAGATAAAAGGTTTATTCTAAACGGAAGAAGGTTCCCGACAAAAGCCTTAAATTTAACGGAAAGGAAACCTCTTCAATTCATACTTGACAAAAGACTGTTATAATATATATAGTTCATGCTATTAAACAAGCTAAGAGAGCTCTGATTTATCTCTATGTATGTTTAAACCAGAGATGTAAATTTCGCTATAGGAAGTTGTTAGTATAGAAAACGTTTATTCGCCCAACTCAAATAAATGTCTTTACTGTCTAAGGTAATTGCTCTTTTCAACTCCTTAGGAGATCCAGCGTCATTAAAATAAACTGTTTGCAAACGCTGTGAGGGTTTCAGCGATGCTCAACTTGCACAGAGGGCTTTTAAAGTTAAAAAAATCAAAAAAATTATATGGGAATTTGGCGAAAAATACATTCGGAAAGATAAGACTACAGGATCACCCTGCGCCAGTTTCCTGCCCAAGTCCGTTCTAGTATGCATGCTAGTTGCAAATTCCATGCGACTGGTATGTATACATTCATGAAACGGTTAAAAAAAAAACACTTAGCTGATGAGTTGACAGCGTTTTTTTCTTAGTTAAACAAAATAGGTGGAGTTTACACCGTGCTTATTTGTCTTTATGATTGGGCGCCCTTCTTAATTCAAAATGTCGGAGTTTTAGTTTCAGCCTAGTTCTTCGTTGTGTTGTGCTCTGCTTTGTTCTGTTCTGCTCTTCCTTACTTGTCTTTAGTTAATAATGTTAAGTATATTTACTTATACGTTCAAATAATAACTTATAAACGCCTCTCCATCTTTGCGGGTGTAACGAAACCCTTTGGTGCGTAATTGTCAGAGGATGTTGATTCAATGTTATGTCTGATTACTATAAATTTGGACATAAATGTTAACCGCTCAGCTATTTTCCTTCAACAATAAAGGATTTTAATTAAAGCAAAGGGATTAGGGAATGTTAAAAAACAATAATTTTTTTTAATAAAAGGGAGGATATTGTTCCTTCGAAAGAGATTGAGGCTATTTCGGTCAGAAAGCAAATTAAAAATAGAGGATATAAAGAGGAGCTTAAGAAGTTACTTTACATAACTGTAGCAAAATATATTATGTTTAAAAGGATGTTTGAACGAATTTGTAACCTGCGCTGAAAACAAAATCCAATTGACTCATATCCAATCCGTGTTTCAAATATGGCAACGCAAAAATGACTTTAAAAACCTCATAAAAAGAAGTGTCATTAAAGAGGGGGCAACTACTTAGGATTAGCTTGTTGAAAAATTGACTTTGGCGAAATATGGCCTAGTAGTAGTAGAAAAGTTAGAGGTGAAGGCAGCAATCAAACAGGAATTGGTGCGAAAATCGGAAGAATATATGCGAAATGTTTAATGCTTTGCTAAGTTTAAAAAAACATTGCGCGGTTAATCAATATGGAGACCGAAAGGAAATATTTATCACTATAAAGGCAGGGTGAGATATAATTTTATATACCACGCTGGATCATGCAAAAGGATTTTACCGACGGGTTCTACTAAGAAACTCAAATAATTTCGCTTTTACTAAGCAATAAGGGTGAAGAGCGTAATGTACGGGTTATTATTTGGAAACGTGAATGAAATCTTTGAATATCGGGGCATCGATAAAGTAATGACTTTTTAAGAAAATACTCATGTTAGTAGAAGGTGCGTAGTAAGCAGCAAGAATAATTTATCCCATGGCCTTAAAAGTAAAAACACAGGTTTTTGTCCTCCGTTCTTTGGTGTATAACCTCTGTAGCGATGTAAGGGAGAGGTCTAATTTTGTTAATTATTTGTACTGAAAAAGTTTATATACTTTTTCCATGCTGGGTAATAATTACTCTATATTAGCCACTATCTACGTTAGTGCCCGTTAAAGTGTACTTACGCCACGAGTAATAATACATATCAGAACGGCCTCGAGGACGAAACGAGACGAGCAGACAAAGAAAAGGGTGTTATTTATTGAAAGAAAACACACCGAATTTACGAGCTCTCAAAAGGTTGATAGCGTACATATTAGTTTTAAGCTTGTGTTGAAGCAACCTCATACACACATATATACAATATATAAATTTATACCCCTGACCCATGTTAAAAATTTAGAGCCTTGCGCGGTCTACAGCGTACGCCTTCCCAATTTTCGTACTAACCTCATCTACCAGTAATCGATTGGGGTGCTAATTAAGTCTTTCGTAGGTGGCAATAGCATTGCGTCGAAAACGTAACCTAAGGGTTCCAGCTGGAGGCCCCGTCAATAGGCGAAAGTTTCCTCTTTTGAAGCGAAGAGACTATTACCAGTGAGTCGTAGGCCCGGGTAGTAGACGCATGGTCATGATCGGTGGGATGTACAACAAATACAAGCGTCGTTCATTGTGGAACGAGAGTTTGCTTTGGGCACAAGCTAAAAGGTAAAGAGATTGAACCGCCCGTCTTAACCTTCGGCACAACATAATTCACCTACGGCCGCGACGAGCTTTTTGTCACTAATGACTTCTAGGTATTTCGCCTGAGGATACCAAAGTATTACCTTGTTTTCAAGGGTTAGCGGGTAGTGGTGTAGTGCGCTTCTTTGTGATAAAAAGAGCTTTGCTGTTTACCACATTAATAGTAATGTCCAACGGCGACACCACTTGGCAAGCGTCACTAGGTAGTACTGCGCATGGTGGCGCAATAAGTCAAGCTGTGGCACGTAGCGCACCTCAAGAGTGCTCAGAGCAGTCCTTGTGTGGCTCCGGTTGTTAGCGGCCCTAAGGGTGAGCGCGCATAGCCCATACGTATATTACAGACGCGGTCCTTTAGGTAAGATTTGATCGCGTTAAAAAGAACAGTAGGAAAGGTTATGGCACGCAATATGAGAATCAAACCCTTGTGCCACACTCGGTCAAGCGTCGCTTTTGGCCTGCTTATATTAAAGGCACGGATCGCCCTCTCCGTTAATTTGTGGTCCTTTCGAAGTACTAATTAAAACTCTGGCAGGGTGCGACTGGCGTTAACACTGACTGACTGCTTCAGCTGCCTTGTCAACGCCCGACAAGAGACTGATAAGTTTGTATTTGCTTGGCGGAGATGCTAGTGCGTGGTATCTTTGGAAGCATCACGGTCGTTGCCGTCAACCAGAACAATGGGAAGGCGCCGAGAGCCATTGTAAATAACCTTTTTAAATACACAGAAAAGAGAATTTTAAAAACTAGTTTGATAAACATTTTATTGGATTATGTAAGCAACTGCACATTCCTCTATTTTACCTAAAAAGTTTTTGAAGCAAAGAAGTTCTTATAATAACTTTAGATTTTCAAGCTAAAACCGTAATAGAAGAATAGCTTTTAAATAATCTTCTTGTGTTTGGGAACTTTCAGATACTTCTACTTCGCATCTTTGAATTCAAAGTAAATGGGAGGGCGGAGGCAGGTATTACTGGCTTATCTATTACTTTGTTGAATATTAGACCCTTTAAGAGTCATATAAGCTTAAAATTTTTTAATTTTTTAACCCTTAGGTGGTCGCCTACCTATAGAGAGATATCATCTCGCGCACCAATTTCTTAATACCATGTATGTTAAATTCCTTCTTACAAAATAACTCCTTATGATGCAGGGCAACTAAAACAAACCCCTTTTTAAATTTCTATAAATAATCTTTTAAGTTTTTAATTAAAAGGCAACATTGTACCGTCTTTCTTCCTATTCATGGTTTATAAAAAAGTACGATAAACTGTACTGAAGGGCCATGTTGGCTAAAAAAGTTAAAAAGTGTTATTTTGTACTTAAAAAGGAAGCATTTAGAATAAAAGATTAAAGTTGCCCGAGAGCAATATTCGCAAATAACTTTTATAATAATATTTTTTTGCCAATGTTAATTTTAAGGACTTATAACTGTGAAATCTTTTTCAAATTATTTTAGTGCCTTTAGCCTGAATAAAAAATATTACCCTGAGTACGTTCTTTAGCAGATAATAGCAACCGGGTACATTCTAGTTAAATAGACAGCACCCAAAAGCCTCTTATAAGTGTGTAACTTTAGACAACTTCGAACTTGAAAGTCGATAATGTGAAAAAATGACGTGAATAATATTCATACTAATATAACATATTTAAGTAAAAAAACATAAAGAATAAAATATTTCTCAAGTTTTAGCCTTTCTATATATTCAAACACTCTTATAAAACTTTTAGTTGAACTGTGTAACTAAAAACTAATCCCTTAAAGGCCGAAATACTTTACTTCTTACTAAGAGTTATTAATAACTTTTAGTATAAGCTCTCATCACCTCTATCCTTACGGCAGGTTTACGTACATACAAACCTTTATGCTGATAATGATAGTAAAGTTTTGATTTTAATATGGACGCTTTAAATTTGCTTTAGCCTTTCATAATATAAATTTCTAAAAACATAAAAAACAAAGTTCGTTGTATACCAATTATTTTAAGAGATAAACAGCTGCTTGGTGCTTGTCGCCATTGCAACGTTTCAAAGCAGAGACAACCTCATCCCTTGAGAATCCAAGTTGCATCAGCGTCGATATCGAGTCTTCATCGTTAGAAGGGGACCAGCCCTCGCTTTTTTGCTGAATGTTATCCCGAGGAAGCTCATGCTCAGTGAGGAAGGCCACACTCTCCCCCGTGGTCCCTGAAAGTTCGAAGTGATTATAATAATACTAAAAAAATGAGCATTGCACTTTCCTATGCGCAAATGATTGCTTTTCAAATCAATACAACAATTATGGCGCTTGAGCATGTCGAGCCCCAAAATAAAGTCCACCGACTGCTCCAACAAGACCTAAAAAATCCTTGAGACATTTATTTCAACTAAATATATGCTAAAGATGTTCCCGCTATTACTATTTATAATTAAACTTGAGAACCGCCAATCAAGAGAGGACGACTATTAACTCTAAAATCATATTCAAAAAGGGGCATTATTACAACAAACCAAGAAAGAGCAAATCAAAAAGGCGCGTCCAATTTTCACGTGAGCAGCGTGAATTCTTCCGGCAATCGGGGCGCTTCCTACTCCCAGTGCGACTCCCTGATACCGTGTGTCAAGAAGCCGCATTAAGCTGCACCGAGTGGCACACTCTTGGCTTAAAATAGACATTTGGGCACCTGAAAAGAAAAAAATCAATTTAAAATTGCTTGGTACCAGCAAACAGATTCCCTGAAGGCTCCATTAAGTCTGCTAGTAATATCTTTGGCAAATAAAATAAAGAACCTGAATCTACAAAAGCTTTCACGACACAGCCGTTGATCTCCAACTTTATATAAAGCATCGAAACAGAGGAAAAGGATTCAGGAATGTGCTAAAAGAATATTCAGCATTGTATTAAATAAACCAAACGTTTACTATCTATATAAATATATTAAATTAATTTATTCAAAGAATTGAGGTCATAACACTCTTTAAGTTTTTTTATATATACAGATATTTATATATAATCATAATTATATTCTTAACTGGTAAATAAAAGAACGTTTCCCTATAAAAATAGTCAATAATTGCAAGGAATAACAAATTTAAGGCTAGTATGTGGTAAAGGTGCCTCGTCTTTGGAACGCGGGTCAAAGTATATTTGTAGAGTAGCTACTTAATCTTTATATACAATAGCCTTTAGTACTATTAGAGTATAGTAAATTCTTACACAATATATTAATTCTGATCTCTTTTTAATATTTTCTCTAAGTAAAGCTGGAAACAGGGAAATTTTCATTGTATTTAATGTAAGTAAATTTTGAAAAGTTAAAAAACAAATTTTTACAAATTTACAAGTACTGCAAATCCCAAACGCCTTTGTAATTACTAAATGAAAACCACTCCCTTTCAATTATTTTTTTTTTCAAAGAAAAAAATAAAAAAATCTAAGCGATAAGTTAGATATTTTTGGAATTCTGCCAACTCTAGAGAGTTGGTAAGAAATTCTTTCCAACAATGTTATATAATTATGTAAATACTAAATTTAAGCTATTCTTTGTACTACTTCCATAAAGACCGTCCCCCAATCTTTTTTTTTTAAAAAATATGGATACCTCCATGGCCGTGTACAAGTTATGACGAAGATTCTCGGAACGAATCTGCTCTTCGATTTTACATTGCAGTTCTAAGTCAAACGGATTTTCTTTAGCTAACTTGAGAAGTTGTTGCTCCTCTGTTTTACTAAAAACTAATATAAATAGAAATACTAAAAATTTGTTGAATAAAAATTATGTCCTATTTAAAGCAGTAATATATTATCATATTACTATTTACTAGTAAATATAGTTTAACTTTCATAAATCAAGTAAATTTTTCTCTAAATTTTTATAGCATAAATGTTATATATAATTTAAAAAACCACTCAATATCTACAATATGACAAGCATTGATTTCCATGAAAAACAAAAAATACAAAAACTAAAGGTTAGTATAAAAAAATTTCAAGTTATGGAATAGAAAGTTTACAAAGAGTTTTATATAAAAAAAAATAAACTATGACATTTCTTCCTGTTTCAAAAGTCTTGATTCCAAGATGGCTTTCACGGCGTAGACGTCAGATTTCATGAGGGCCTCGGCAAGCTAAACTGACGTCAACAGGGGATCGTAAATTAACATGAGGAAAAAGGTTTAAAAAAAACATAAAATATTACATAAATGTATGATAACTGGTAAAAAAGGATTGATAGTTAGTTATATTCTTAAAAAAAACGAAAGGACTAAGAATTCGTAAAGTATAAGCCAAAGAAGGTAAGCTTATTACTACGTTATATAAATGTTTCATAAATAAAAAATATATATTTAAAACTCTACAAGAGGATCGTGATGTCTCAACAAGGAAAGCTCCTTACCATTGCGCTGCAGTTTTCTAATAAAATCTTGATGCTTTTTTAGGTCCTTTAATAAACATAAATCACAGCTTTAACATAAAATATAACGAGAATGGTTTCTTTATAAAATTATAATGTGAAAATTTCAATTAAAAAAATTTAAGGCATAAGGGTACCGTTTTTAAGGACTTGTCCACAAGGAAAAGAGAAGTATTTTTTACAATTCCGTTATCCTCTAAGGTACCTAATAATAAAAGTATTTTTAAAAGTAGTAAAAACTATTCAAACAAATCTGTGAAAGACCAAAGCAGAGTTCTTTTTCCTGGTAATACAAGGCCAACTTATCGGGATCTTCACAGCCAAAGTCGAAGCAAACGACAGCTTTTAAGTCCTTTATACTTGTTAAAACATCTAGCTCCAAAGATATGGACTTTTAATTTTTACAAAAAATATGAAAGAAAAAACTAAAGGTGTTTAATAGTAGCTTACCCGAGTTAAAGTAGAAACTGTCAAGATCATAACAGCTTTACTTTGCCTTCTACTGAATGAAAGAAAATACTTGTTTAAAACGGATGGGAAAAATGGTTCGATGAGGTGCTTATCTGGAGTTTCGTAAATTTTCTGTGATGACCTCGCTGAAAATTTGCTTTTTACTTATCAATAAAGATGAAGGACTTGTAAAACTTGTTAATGTAAAGTGGCATATTATCATGATTGATTATTCTTTATATACTTTAAGACAAATTTACGTACAAAAATTATATTAGTAGTACAATACAAAGGCCACCCTAACGGTTCCAACCTGTTTTATGATATAGTTTAAGCTAGTTCCGATTCTTGGTGAAAAGAACCCGATTAATTACTCAGAGTAGTTTAGAGGATATTTCATTGTTTATTTAAATGCTAAATTTTTGAAAATATTACCTTCCAGGCTAATAAATTTACATTAAGAACCTGTATCTGTGAAATGTAGACTTTTAAGCAATTTAATAATATTGCTCAGAAAGTTTATAACTAAAAAGCGCGTTGTTTGATGCTTTTAATAAAAGAGTAGCGATTTTACCTTTTATTAACGGGGGAGGCCGAAAAAGTCCTACGCTTTTTGGACAACCAAGAAATATTCACCTTTTGATGTCCATAACACTCGAATGCACTTTTGCAATTGTTGGCTAATAATATGTGTACAAAACCTCTGACAAACTACCTTCTACAATTATAAAATTCGTAAAGTAGCTCAAAAAAAAGTTGGACGGGAAGATCATACACTTTACTTTTACACTACCTTCAATTCAACAAGAAAAATTTTTTACTTTCATTACTCTGGTCCACCTTCTTTAGGCACAGAAGATCATTAAACTAGCCTACGGAAAGGTGACATACCTTAAAAAGTTTTGTTAATTTGGTAGGAAAGCAGTTTCATACGAGAGTGGCTAAAATTAGTTAATTGTTAAAATATTGTATATAAGCTATCAACGTCTTTTACGAACATAAGACCAAACAAGCTGCTATGTCCTTTAACGGGCCATTTTAAACAAGCCTTAAACCAAGATTTCTGAATAGAACCCCCGGATATCGTTTTTCTACGCAACGCTAATGACACCTAAGGAACGGCTTAATGAGCACACCATCGATTACTGGCGGACGAGGTTACTACGAAACATGGGTGGGCAATTGGCAAACGCCACCGCCGTCCATGGAAGGGGCGTTGAATTTTGTGGTAGGGGTTGGAGCTAAAAATATATATTTTAGTAACCGTTGTTCTTCCCTGGGGTTGGACTGTAGCCGTGAACCCAAGGCCATCTAATTAAACTTTTTTTCTCCTTGTCTATTCTTATAACCAATTCTATGATTTATTCGTTAAAATCTAAAGCGAACAAGAACTTAATACCCATAATCCTCTATAGAGAGTTACTTCTATGATGGTGAAAGGGCATTATGCGACCATAATTAAGTATAAATAATTAAGCAATCGTATGTTTATTTTAATATGTAGAAAAGTACCAAATAGAAACAAAAATGAAGAACTAGATCTGGACAAGGGAAGACACCCGGCAGTATTGGGAATAAACGAAATACAAGTTGTTTTGTAGCTGAGCAAGCCTTAAATGTTAGTAATACATATAAATTAAGCGGACTAATCATGAAAATGAAGTGCTTAAAACTAGGAGAATCTAGGACCGAGTTTTACCATAGATAACGAAAGGTTAAAAATTACTTTCATACTTATACATATTTTTTTTAGTTATTCTTAACTGATTAATATAACTCCTGTAAGTTGGGATTAATTTTCTTTATTATTATTATGTTTTTAAAAAATGCTTTTTAGAGGATAGAAAAAACTTAATTTTGTTTTTTTCTTCCTGTAACCTGCCTCCGAGTTTACTTAATTATTACTAGGTTATGATAGTCAATTTTAGATAAATGAACTTGCACATTTTAATTTAATAATTTAAGTAGGTTTTTATTAGTACTCCTTCCAAATACTAACTATAAATTATTAATACATAATGCCTAACTAATTTCTTAGGTTAAAGTGCAAAAAATAAAGTTTACCCAGCTTTAATTAACAAGATATAACAAATTTATCCTTTAATCTGTAATTGGCACTAACAGTTAAGGTGTATCCTTTTAAATGCATTAAAATTAGATCTACATTAAAATTTTAAGTCAACAGACCTACAAAAAGAACCTGAACTCTTTTTTCGTGTGTAACTTTTCAAAAGTAACCAGTTTTTTTTTTAATGTTTTAGAGATGTTTTACTCTACCTCTGTGAACCTCTAGTGCTCGACACCCTTTTCCCTATCATAGTTAATGCAGAATAGTAATCTTCGTGAATAAGGGCTCTGTTGAAAGCCTTTATTGTCCAGTGTGCTAAAATATCTTATTTTCCTTAGCCAATATACCTATAATTTCGGAACACAGTGTTTCTTAGCTCACAGGCCGCTTATTAAGACCTCGAAAAAGAGTAAACAGCATATCGCATCTTCACTACCTCTGAATGGGAAGTTTGTTCTATAACCTCTCGATAACTACTTGCTCATGACTTTTTTGTCTCTAACCTTCCTTTTAAGTAGAATATTATACTCCCCTACCAACATCACAGAGGGTAGCACTTTCTTTTTAAAATCACATTTATCGGTTATGCTTCTAGACACTTAGTTCATCCGGTTTCATTAGCTTAAATTTTATTTTGTTAAACTATCTTTCATATTACGAGTTACTTTAGCATTCGAAACGTCGTACAGTGACTTCACACGTTTTAAGACTTATTAACAAAGACCACTATTACATTTTAGTCGTGTTTGGTAATGACACATAATTTTCTCCTTTAACTTTATCGCTATTCACACATAGCCACTAATGGAGGGGTGTAGGGTTACGTAACAAAAAAATAAATTTATTCAAAACTCGGCACTTTAATCCCTTTTAGTAAGCACGCCAATAGAAACCCAGTAACAAAGTTATCCTACTTATTTCTTTTCCTCATAACCAACACGATAGTGAGAAGCTAACAGCAAAAAACCAAAGTATTCTAGCGTGTAATGACGCTATCCCGCCTAGCGCTCTATTTTTTTTTTCCAATACAACTGGGTAACAAAAATAAACCTTTTGAATTTATTTACTAGGTTTACAATTACTCTTTTATTACCCGCGAACAGGAGAGGTGAGCCCCGTGTCCCCATTATACATAGATGAGGCCCTAGGATTACTTTCAAAGCCCTCCTAACTCTGCAAGCAACTGTTCCAGTAGTTCTTCTGTGTTATTGACGAGCTATCCGTTATGTTTGTAGATTAAACCTCCATACTTAACCTCGGCAGCTTTTATTTTCTCTAATAACTCTGTTTTTTATGTGTCGCCGTCAAGTAAAGACCTAAGCTCATCGTACATGTCACGTGAAACTATTAGAATGCGCATTGTGAAAGCATGTTTACGTGCCAAAAGCAGTTGCACGCTTCTCGTCGTCAAAAGTAATAGTTGCCGTTACTATTCGAAGTTAAAGGCGGGAACAACCGGCTGGTGCAGGTGGGGAAATAGTATAGAAAATCTTGCTGAAATATTTATTAAAAACTTTAGCAGGGCAGCGCGGTTAATTTAGCCCTTTCGACGACTGGTGATAGGAGTATGTTGGGATTTGTATTTGTACAAGAGGGCGCTAAATTACGGGTTGGAAAGATGTCGAGGTTTAAAACCGAGTTAGTGAGGAAGCACAAATAAGCTATGGCCAATGAGTACTTTAATGAACAAAAAGCTTTTGGCTCCAGTAAAGCTTAAGATCACGGTGGCCAGCTAAAGGCGTTCGCTGGCATTCCAGCAAAATCTCATCTTCGACAGGGTAGAAGGAGAGGGACCTTGAGAGAGGCTTCGAGGCACTGGTAGCCTTTCTACGTCGCTTTTTTTCGGTCAAAATATTATCGTCACGCGATTTTATAAACTGCTTGACAAATTGATTGAAGAATCACGGCCGGCGTCGCACGCTTTTCACTCGTAAATTAACGAGATAACCTGCACTAGCTAGTTAAAAGCTGCAACATAGTTTAAAAGAAAGAACTACACGAAAGGACAGGCATTTAAAGCGAAAAAATAGACTAACGCCCTATTGGCAAAACCTTGTAAACTCGAGGTCGCTTTATAGCGGTTTGGGAGGGAACCCGACCACTCTACCGTCCACAGCTACCGGTCCGTTATAACTTTAAAGCACTTTCCAACATCTCAGTAATGCTGAATTAGAAAGTTTAGAAGAGGGCGTGTCCACCGTTTTATTTCTTATAAGTTGATGCCACGGTTAAGTAAAGTAAGTTTTTTAAAGTGGTGTTTTGTTATAATATAAATATTGCAGTCGCTTATTCAACCCTATGGAGGCCAAGCAACTATTAATAATACTAGGTTACTTTTAAGTACTGTTCTATTAAATTTCTGTTATTTTTAAAAAAGTAAGACTGTTGTGGTGGCATGGCCTCTTATTTTCCTATTTTAAGAGAACGATATGTTTACCCGATATTAAGGTGGCGTCATCTAATTTTTTAAAATGGAGGAAGGGGAGGATAAGTTTAACTTTATAATAGGTACTTTTTGGAAAAAGAAGGCTCTGAGGTTGCCCTGGTAATTTTTAGAAGCAGTAACGTTGCAAGTGAACTTGAAATTGTATCTTTCACTCCTGAATTAAGGGGGATTGTCGCCTTAATAAACGGTTTTGTATTCTTTTAAATAATTTATAAATCAACTAAAAAATTTAAGATCCCTACTTCGCTGGAGGCACGTTTGGCTGTTCTTTGGCTGTCGCCTTGAAGTCTGGGTTGGAGGTAAATTTCACTTACTTTAGCTTATAGCCTTTTACACGGCAATAACCTCGTAGTTATTTCAAAGGAGTAAAAAGGGGTCTGAGAAATACTGTGTTCTTTGCTGTAATACAAATCCTTATAAAGTTGTTTTTAAATTTTTTTTTTAAATTGAAAAAGTAAAGTTTTAAATTAAGACCAAACTCAATGAATCTAGTAAGTGGGATGGCAAAACTTGTTACGAAATAGCCAGGGAATATGGAAAGGTAAAATTTCGATAACTTTCTTTAAAATAACACTCGATATCTCCATATTGCAGATGGGTATTGCGTTGTCAGTAATAACATCAAAGAAACTTCAAGAGCTGAAAATCGTATTCAGAGAAGCGGGTAGTTCGCAATATGTTTACATAAGTTAATGCTAAAACCAACTTAATTTACAAACAGGCAGCGGATTACCAACTACTGCCTTTGTGGATGTGGCTACTTCGGATTCGGATTTCGCTGTTTTGAGAGGAATTGATTTACCAATTAAAGGTAATTATTTTTCAGAATAACAACCCGACAATAACCTTCAGTAAGTTTTGTTTCTCTAAAATAAGTAAAAGCTCAAAGAAAAGAGGACCCCCGCATCGCTCCTGTAGACGCTCAATGCCAACCAACTATCGCCCCGGCGGGAGAAGGAGAAGACACTATGCCACCAGAGAGCGAGCAAGTGCTACCACAACAACAACACTCTCCAGCACAGCGCGAGCCTCTACCCGCGCCCTCCCAACTACTCCGAGGTCAGCGACGGGCAAGTTCCAAGCAGCGACCAAAAACGCCTACTGGCAAGGAAACGCCTGTCCGTCCGCCGCTGTTGCCCTTCTGGACAGGCGTGCTGACCTACCGCGCCTCCTGTAACCTTCACTTCGAAGTGGCCGCTTTCCATGTGGATGTCACACCGTAAGTATTTGGCTTCCAAAAATAACCTTAAAAAAGGACTACGGAACCGATTAACTCCCAACCAAAGGCAAGCCGAGCCGACTCCCTGCTGGCCCGAACAGCTTCTGATTAGCGAGTTTTTCCTAAGTCATTCCAGCGGGATTGGGGAGAAAATGGATCGAATGGCTTCTCAAGTACGAAAGCTTTCGTTCAGCTTGTTAAACCTCGTTACTAACGAGTCAGAAAATCGCAGAATACGTACTTCAGAGTATATCTGACTAAAAGCGATGAAACTTCAGTCAACAACTTCAACCTTCTGCTCAACAACTTCTATACCCGCCAGACGGTTAGTTGAATATCACTACGTGTCTTCTTTTTACTGCTAAATTTGGTTGAAGTCGCCCATTGTTATCCTTCACGGCGAAGAGCCTCGTTGCCTGCTCCTTACGGTCAAGCCATTGGCTGCGCAGAACTCGTCAACGCTAATCTTACTTGCCGTCTATCCGGCTTTGGAAATTCAAAGCGAGCTTCACAGCCTTATAGAAGTTAATCAGGCACGGGTGAGGCCCCTGCAGTGGCCGGCCGTCCAACCGGGAGACCCCGAGCGGGCCAGCGACGGGAGGTTGGAGGACACCACGCTTCGGGGCCACCTGGGTCTTCCTTATGAACTTCTTTATTCGCACAGTGCAGAAACGCCCACCGATCATGAATTTTAGTATAAAACTATCTTTATTGATAATAAAAAAAGTTATTATATTTCTTTTCTCTGAAGGGCACGTTTCTTACTGCAGATCCTGATTGAAACAAAAATAGTAAAACAAGACATTATAGGAAACTAATAGCGGAGTACTTTAAGTCCACTAGAAAGGGTCTCGATAATATTCTTCAGAACAGCACTTTTATTGCTCTCCGCAAAAACTTTGAGGTGCTCAAACACTTTTTCAAGGTCGAAGTGCAAATCATTATAAAGAGCCATAACCACGTCCGTTGTCAAATTCTATTAGAGTCACGGAAAGTATACGAAAAACTTTTAATTTTATTTCTGCTCATTACCTCATTCTTGGGTCCAACAACTTCTATTAAGTTCTGTAAAATATCCTCAACGGGAAAAAAGGGAGTTCCATAAAACCTTATTGTGCGCATACCCATAATATAAGGAAGTTTCAAAACGAAAGCAAATACAAACATTTTTCCGAGGTTTTTTAGCGAGCCTTGCAATAAGTCGTGATCCTTATAATACTCTGTTATAGCAAATATAAACATTAAAATAGCAATAATTTTTAACAAGTCTTGTCACCTGCAATAAGTCTCTGCCATAGTTTTTTAATAAGCACTGTGTCTACATGGTTGCAGCAACGAAGTAGGGAAAACAATGATTCATAAAGAGCATGCGGTTGGGCAAACTCGTTGTAGAGCTGCACGTATCAAAAAAGATGACAATTTTACTAGCATACATATGTATAATTAATAATATTACCAAAGTTGAATCGTACAAATTGTGCGAGAGGAGAAGTAGTTGATTTTGGCGGACGTGGGCGTCGACGTTAATTCGATGGCTCAACTCATATGTCATCCGAAGTTGTATAGTGGCCACCTTAAAACAATCACAGCGATAAAAACAACCGCAGAGAAGAGTAGAGCACAGACGAGACTTCCAACTGGCCTTGAACTACGCTGAGAAACTCTGCATCCTGACCAGTGCTCGACGATTCTGAAACAACCAAGCTGGCATGCACGTGGGTTAGTACTAACACGTGGGCGAGTAACCTAGAAGTAAGTACGTGGCGTTAAAAAGAGCCTGGCGCATAAGCTCCACTCGTTTCTTAATCAGCACCGGACCGGAGCAACGGGCCAACTGCAAGTAGCGACAAGCGCCTGTTGAGTTAGTAGTATATTGGCGGGATAGATAAGGGACAGCAGCCAATTACTTTCGCGAAAGAGTTTGTGCTTCATATAATAAATGAAAACAAGCTCAGCCAGCTCAATATCATCAGGTTGACCACTTTCGACGCGTTGCAAGGACTTTTCATAAACAAGTTCCAAAAAGCTCTGGACATAACAGTAATAATAGTAATATAAAAGCCGCATGAAATAAACCTGAAGGTGCGGCGGATCAAAAACGAGTAGATGGTCTCTAAAAGAGCTTGGGCCATCCTGAAGAAGCCGCGTGAAAATATAATACTGAAAAAGTGCATCTTCGCTTCCACGTGGAGAATGAATCCAACGGGGAAGATCGGATTGGAGGTACGGATAAGCCAATTGGTAGCAGTTAACACTGTAATATGCGTCAGATAAAAAAATGGAAGCGGGCACGGACTCAAAGTGGCACCGTTGGACAAACTGATCGCTCATAGGTGCTATTTTGGTGCAGAAGTCCACCTCTAACCGAAAAACTTCCTCGAGTCCAACATCGGATCGTTTAATAATATTCTCGAACCTTAAAAAAGAGTATTATGATAACATAAATAAACTTACATACCAACAAAACACCGCGCAATCGTTATAAATATGGCAAAAGTGAAGCAAAGAAGGAAGTGGAAAAAAAACAATCCCCTCCTTAAAAAATAACCAATGGAATGCAGAGTTCTCTGGATCTGAAAAATGGGCCATCCGAAGACACAATTGGCAGAGCTGATCAAACTGTTTAAGCTGCGCAAAAAGGTCCACCTTCGTTACAACAATTAAAAAATTAAAAAAACAAATGTATAGGGATCGATAGGAAAATTGCCAAAATAGGGCTGAAGTCCGAAAGAAAAGCAAGCTCAAGACAGGCGTTCGCCGCTGTCTCGATGTATCTATAGTGGGTCACATGGTCTGCACAAATCGAGCAACACGCAGACAACAGGGCCACTTTTGCCGGTCGAGGGATCCATCAGGCAGTGAAACAGCACGTTTGAGGAGTTCACAAGCGACAGCGGCCTCATAGCGTTCCCCGCTGAATAGAAGCGGGCAGTCGTGGCTGAGGTCTTCGCGAATAAGGCTCATCTCCTCAGGAGAGAGAGTGTCTATTACATGTATAACAAGTGGTATTAAGAGGACCACAGAAAGCAAGGAATAGGCCTACTGAGCCACTTATCAATAATCTTCTGTGTAGCTTTCCACGACGATTCCTCAATAAGAATACTCCGAAGTTCCAAAGAGTGCAACTCCACTGGGGTCTCTAAAACAGGTTTATAAAATCAGCGGTTTTATATTCTCCTCGCAGAGTGCAACCATTGGGCGTCTGCAGCGCGACTCCCCCGGGTTCTCGGCGCCTGATTATTTTTACCAGCGATAAAACCTCGATGCTGTGGATCAGCAGGTCGTGCAAGCCGCACTGACAAATTAGAATCAACTAATATGCTTCTGTAACTATAATTTATCCGCTTTTCAGTTACCCAATATCGGCATTCCGATGGAAAGGAACGCATCCAGACCAAGCGGTGCTCTTCCAAAAACACCTTTAGAAGTTTCAAATGGGGGAGCACCACAGCTGCTGTGTCTGCGGAAATATCCAATAGTTGACAGTTCTAAAAAAAATGCGTCAACTTTTATTGCCCACATATTAAAAAATCTTTAAAATTTATAAACAGTTGTCTAATATTTCAAGCCTACTTATGCTTTTACATAATTCCTTTACTTTCAATGCTTGTTATTTTTGAATCATTACTTAACTTCTCGTTTATATTTTATTTACTAAATTTTTCTTACTGGTTTATCTTTTATAAAAATTAAAAGTACGACGCGTACCCAAACAAAGCGCAACAAGCGAGACAAATAGAGCGCAAGACCGTGGAATGCCACAGAGAAGTTATTATCCGCGCCAAAAGAGCCGCTACTCCAAATACTAATAAACAAGAAAATAACGATGCAAAAATAAGCCACGTGGAAAAGGAGGCTTCTTTTTCGCAAAGAAAATTTCTTCTCTTCAAGTTGTAACAACTCTAAATAATGCTTCATTATGACTATAGAATTTATCCAGTAAAGAAATTACGGTGTTCTTAAAGAAAAGTTTCTTGGCCCGCTCTCTAACATCTACAGTCTCACAATCACTAGACAAAATAATAAATAAATTCTGATAGCTATAATAAAACGGCGTTTTACTTATCATATATAGTAAAATTGCAGGCTAAAACTAAAAGCATATAGGAGGACTCATCCGGCTCAAAGTCCCTGCAAAGATATGCAATAATTATATTAATAATAATAACCAGCTTCAACAAAAACCTAAGGAAGCCCGACACTGCGCCAGGCCTGCCAGAACAATCGGCCAGCCGGAAGGCCAATTCGTCAATGGGTCGCTGTTTCTCGTATATATTAATGCCTAATATATAACGATATACTAAAAAAAACGATAAAGCATAGACGCCGTCACGAAAAAAAACCTTCAGAATTCAACACAACAAACTGCCGGCGTGGAAGTAGGTGCTGGTCCACGTGTTCATTGTCCGACAAAAAAGAAACCACAGACCCCAGTAAGGGGTTCAACACATGGGCGGGTATCTCGTGAATGGTGTGTGCCGGGTGCTTCAGGATAAAAACGGAGGCCCTTTCCACCAGTCGATTTTCAAGGGGGTCGTATCTAGGTAAATAGGTTTTAAATAAGTAGTTCCAGTGGTGCTTACGAAATTATACGTTTGTGTTATCGCCAAAAGTTCGTTATATTCCTGAAAAACAGTCCTTTCTGGCCCCTCTCCAATCAGTCGGGCGCGGGACACGCTGAAAGCAAAAATAGTGGTCAATTAAATTTAAAAGTTAGGGTTCAGGGAAAAGATATACCTCGTGGTTTTGCCAACTAGCCAAACTCCAGCTCTACTAAAAGCGCTCTAAAGATAAATATACAAAAAGGGGTGAGGAATAAACGGGAAAAAACAAAAGCAGGAGCACGTGGGAGGCTGAAGTACCGCCACGCCGTCATTGGCTATTAAAGAGTTTGACAAAAAGGAGCCACCAATTAGCGTTTCCGGCACGTCGGCTGCTATGAGACCATCTGCCCAAGCTAGTGAGAAAAAAAGAAAGATGCCAGGTAAGACGACGGACGCACCAGCCCTGCCAAGCCTGACAGACGGAGGAGGATGGAGGGGTGGCACAAAAAGAAAGCTGAACTGAACAGAATTATAAAATTCTCTTATAAGTTGGACGCACGCTCTCAACCCTTTTAAAAAAGAGTAAATTTCTGTATAAAAGTTTAAGTTTGCAATAGTGCGCTTACCGGATCTCGTTATTAAGTTCAGACTTACAACTAAATTACTGTACGCAGTTTCAGTGTGTTCAACACAAAACATGTCAACCAATTCAAAACAGCCGCTAATGAAAATAGTAATTATTTCAAGAACACTACGGAACAGAAATAAAAAGCACACTTGGAGGAGAGAAGTTCGGGGATCTTCCCTTGCACGTCTTTTTTAAAGCGGTCATATCTGGAGACGTATAGAAACTCTCCGTTTTCATAAGAATATGCCTTTATTAGCACAATAAAAAAAAAAGAGATCATGCTTATTATTAGTGAGACGGCAAAAGTAACCTACAGTAATCACGCCTCTGCTGGAAAGTGTGCAAACGATACCGCGTAGTTTGCTCGCTTCGATTTTTATAAGCTGATCTAGGATTTATATAAGAAATTCATTGAAATGTTTTCTTATCCAACAAGAATTAAAACAAACCTTCCTCTTTCCAAAAGTTTAAAAAATGCCCAATTTTCCCGAAAAATCCTAGAAAAAAATTACCAACAACACTTTCTACTTCGTGCTTAACATATGCACCTAAAGTTAAATTTTTTAACCAACAATTTTTGCCCCATGTGTCTTCTCTTGGCTATCAGAAGCAATTAAGTAAAGCATAATAAAAATCAAGAATCAGGAATAAAATAAAAAAGTTTACCGAATAAACAAGTTCGTACAAAGAGCCGTTGCGTGCACCAAGTAGGATGTGGCCGTCAAGTCCTCTAATATTGAGCAATTGCAAGCCGTCCGTTGGAGTATAGTATGGAGTCGGTTGCAGCTCAAAAGAAGAACAATGCGATTCTTCTAGCTTGTGTTGCTTAAATTAATTTTCAAAATTAATTTATGTATAAAGAAACTAATTGAAATTTATTTTCACTTTATAACTAACGGGCCTTGCAAAAGGAGTCGACGGATCCAAAAAGCAAAGGGCAAAAACGGAGATGTCAAAGGGAGTGGCAATTACTAGTAAAAACTCTACCCACGCCTGAAAAATAGCTATAAAGTTGGAACGGTTGGCTACTTATTGAAAATATTTAAATCAAAAAAAGTCGTAACCGGAATCGGGAAGAGAAATAAGCCCCACAGAAATAATCACATGATCTAATTCTTTCACAATAAGATCTTGACTTATAAATTAAAATAAAAGTTGGAAAAAATACAAATAAACCGAATAATAGTAAGCCACCTATTTAACTAAAAATTTAAAGAAAGGGGTGCAACCTTTGGTAATCCCAAAGATAAAAGCGATTTTCTAAGGTAAGCCACACGCAATTAATCTCACTAAATATCCCCATAAAAGTGGTAACATCTCCTCCTACAAGGAAAATTGGAGTAACACCGTGAATGCTAACAAACTATTATTTATACCCTGGGAATCTTGTAAAAGCCAATCAAGATGACTAACAGTTGTCCCCCTCTGACGAAATACTTGAAAAGAATTCGTTTTTTCTCCAGAAAAATTAGCAGACGAAATGGTTTCATCTTCAAAGCTAACTGGGCAACCTAGAACAATATATTGGACAGAGAATTTTTTGTAAAAAAATAAATTAAAGATTAACAACAGTGTAATTCAATAATAAAGTGGTTAGCAAACTATATACTATAGTGCCGAGAAAAATCTAAGTTAATTCTCTCGTTCAAATATTTGTAATCAACAACTTTCTCAGCCAAATTAATTTGAACCCACTTTCTGCTCTCAACTTCTAAATATAGTTATATAAGCTTTAGTTTACTTCATGTTAATAAATAAGAACACGACCTTCGCAGGTAGAAACTGAACCGTTACACACTACTGTCATAGCGCTGAAGATTTAAGCTAAAACTAATAACAAGGGATAGACATGTTACTCCCAACTTTGAATAAAAGACTTGGCCGCCTGCTAAGTCCAAAACGTGGGATGGGTTTTTAGATTTTTTCTTATGGGGGCTCTGCTGTGGTGTGTACAGACTGTCTTAATATTGCTTACTTTTCAAACATATTAGCAAGATTTAAAGAAAGCTTAAAACTATAACTTTTTTTTCACCTACTTCTTGTCTTCAAGTAAAAGTTTATTTATTACTAGCATGTTTTGAACTGCTTTACGTTATATATAATAGCTGTGATAAGGTTGCGGGTTAATTAAATTACTTCAGTATTGCATATGCCGTCTTGTGGAGGCCGTCACGGTAAAGGTTATTTTCTTTTGCGAGTAAAAATTTGTGAAAATTAATGTAAGGTCACTAATTTAATAATAGTGAGAAATCGCCATGTTTATAATATTATTCCCTATCGATTTCCCCGGCGAGTAGTGGTACTGGAGGGTAGTTCTTAGCACAACACTTTAACACTTTTTTTGTATAATTATTCACAACAATCGGTCTGATGGCCACCTACAGGTTGAATTTGCATCTTTGCCTAAATTAATGGCAAATGTGGAAACTACTGATAACTAACCTAAGGTTTAGTAAATCCCTTGTTTACAGATTACATAACTTATAGGTCTCAATTTGCACAGATTCTGTAGAGAGTATAAATATAACAAATAGTATTTAATTTGCTAGTTAGAGTCTAAGTAAGCTTCCCACTAGAACTTATGGTCAGTAACTACTCCAACATACTTAGCCTGCGAGTACCAGCGAAAATCTTTATTAAATAGCCGGAAGTTGCTTACGGGCGATATTACCTTCTACGAGAGATTTGCAAGGCCTTGCATTTTATCGAATTAAGTTTAAGATTATTAGATGTGAACCAGCTTGCAAGGAACTCTAAGTATGATTGCATATTTTTTAGAAACAACTGGGCTAATTAAGACCCATAAATTGCGGTGTCATCAGCATACTGCGCAAGGGAACAGTGTTAACTGTGAGGATATCAGAAGTGAAGACAGAAAATAGCAGAGGGGACAAAAGGGAGCCTTGTGGGATACCTGCAGAAAGGGAGTACAAATTGGAGGTTAGGGTTTATATCTTTACTCTAAATTTTTTTTCCAGAAAGGACTCAGGCAATTGTATCAGGTAATAAGGAATATAAGTTGGCCATTTTAAAACTTATATTTTGTGCCATACGTTATTAAAGGCGCCCTCAACACTTAAAAAATTGTAGCTTTTTACAATTTAACGCCTCGATAACGTGCTCAGAAAGCTTCAAACTCTGTTGAGCGGAGGAACATTAGATTTTGTAGACTATTTTTCCACAGCTCGACAACTTATATATAGTAGCGCTTATCAATTTTTTCGGGATAAGAGGCGATAATCTAAGACCGAGTGATTAAAGGTGGCCGTCTTTGGGATCATGATAACATGGGAAAGTTTCCAGCGTTCTGGGTATGTTCTTAAAAAAAATATTATTTTCATTCAATCTAATTGAAATGAGTGCAATATTAAAGGGAGATTGTAAGCATAAGATTAATTATCAAGATTGCTCGCTTTAATGGTAGAAAGAGTACCTATCCTTTAGTAATTTCTTCCAGTGTGGTAAGCGCTAGCGAATAAATCGAGCTCCCAATTCTTTACCAGTGTGGGAATAATGGATAAAAGGCAAAGTTAAGGCAATTAACATTTTGAAAAGGGGAATCTTTGAACTCTAAAGGGGTCATTCCACATGTAATCCCTTTTTTTTCTCGTTACGCGGGCACATACCGCACCGAAGTAAGATGCAATGATTTAAAAAGTATAGTTTTCAGGTGGTATAAGAAATGAAATAAGTACGGGCTCTTCTGTGTTACTATATCATTAAGGCTATAGATCGACGAAAGAGTCATGAAAAAGAAAGGACATCCTCCATATATCTTTTAAAACCATACTAATACACAATTATTTCTCCATCAAGCGTTATTAGAACACCTTTTGACCAGAACAGAAATCCAACAATATTGTTATAAAATTTTCATCAGGGCACTCTCAAGCTCATCCGTTCTCTAATTTGTGGCATGATAAGTCTGGTTTTAAGATTTATCATAAGGTCTTTTCACTCTGCCAGGCTTTCTTTCTAATATCTCTAATTAAGGAGGAGAGAGGGTTGCGGTTAGGGTAAATATATGTCACATGGATGACAAAGCTTTTTCCTTTCTTTTATCTCTCCCTTGTTTTCTTGGGCTGCCCGCTGTGTACGGACTGGGTCTTTCCCATGCGTGGTAACATACGGGACAGTTTAATAAATAACATATATGATTTTTTAGTTTTAAATAATATATTTATATAAGTCAGTTATTATACAGTGTTGTCAAGGATAAAAGAACTAACATATTCCAAAGTGGATGTTTGCAATTGAGATCTCCGTTACTTACAGGGATCAAGTCAGAAAATATTGCATCGATATCCCTCCTTTTTTAATTTTTTTTCGGAAATTTATAGTCTAAGAAAATGTTATTTATACCATGGTTACTTAGTTTCAATTTAATTCCTACAGCCTTAAGACCCGAAAGCGTGGATGTTTCTTTAAGAATAAAGCTATCGCCGTGTTTAGAATTGTTTCTGTCTTTTCTATACAATGAAAAGTTTAGGAGCGTATACTAGCCGCCCTGTTTAAAATGCATTTCTGAAACTAAAAAAAAAGTTATGTTAATATCTAAGTTCACGGCCAATACTTGGAGTTCGCGCATCCTAATGCGGTGACCACCAGAAATCCAGACCAAGGTCCTCAAGTTGTGTATTTTAGGTACAGCCATGGGTTATAGTTCAAAATTTTAAACAGTTCATTATTGGATTTTGCA